AGAAAAAAAGGAGTTAATTTCCGAGCAATTTGCGAGTAATTAACGAGTCATGAGTGACTCGAAAGACGACAGAATCGTTTCCAAAAATAAACTCTCGGCGGTGGCTCGTCGGGTGTAACGATACTCTTCGATGTTTCGCTGGCTCATTTGTCCACGGAGCACGGATTAATTACCATTTTAGCGAAACAAAGCCGGTTTTTCTATCAGCGCCGTTACAGGACTTGGTACGGTTTGCGTTTAATCCCGCCGGACGAGCACTTTTAATTACTCGATGTCGGGGAAAAAAAGAGAAGAAAAACAGATTTATCGTCCTTAATATACTAGTTTTATTCGTTTATCCTTTCATGCTTTCAGCGAGTCCACGTCAGTCTGTTTGTCATGTTCGTTGCTTGTTTCTCCTGCTATTTCTCTCACTACCCGTCTCTCTCTCTCTCTCTTTCTCTCGTTCCGTCTCTCTCGTCGGCTCTTCTGCGCTCCGTTTCGCTCGTTCCTCTCCCTGTCGGCCAGCCTCGTTCGCTCTTTCAACCACTCTCTCGATCGCTCTCCTCGGACCACACTTCCCTTCTTTGTTCGCGCAGAGACAATTCCACTCGGACAATTTTCCATGCATGGGCTGGCACGTTTTTTCGCGGCGTCCACGCCTATTTTCCGGCGGACGATTCGGCGAAGCGCGCCGGGATTTCGCCGGCCGCGTGACGACGCGCCCGGAGACACGCGCCACGTCCGACCGAACCGCACCGAACCGATACTGTTCGGCCGCGCCGAGTGAATTACGCCCCCGTCGACCGATTAGAAGCTACGATTCCCCGAGCCACGATCCTGTTTTTCCAGCGCGGAACGCCAGAGGATGGAAAGCTAGCCGGTGAGAAGAGGCGGCCAGCAGGAGGGACGGAAGTGAGGCACGTAACGCGCGTAATTTATTTTTACGCGTCTCGGACGCCGTACTATTTAATTAAACGAAAGGTGTAACGCGCGGCGCGCGCTTTGACGCCGCGCTCGATTTTACGTCTCTCGCGGAAAAAAAGAGACCACCGGCCGAGAGAACATACGGTCGGGGGAAGAGGGGGAGGGGGGGGGCGGTTTCTTCGTAAATCTTGCTCTATTTAATTACCCCTTTCTCCGCGCCGCTTCGTAAATATTTTGCTTTATCGGTCTCGGTCGTACGCACACGTTCGCGTATTTCGATTATAACGCGAGACCGACGTAACAAACAGTCGGTCTCGATGTAACGCGAGTATCACCTAACGAGTCGTTCCGAGCTTAACGGTTTCAAATACCTCGTCGTTCTTTCGAACTTTGACATTATTTTTTTTCTTTTCTTTTTCAGAACATGAGGTATCTTGCGGTTTTTTCATTTTCCAAGATATTGCGCGTATGTGTAGGTGGGTGAAAAGTATCGCGAGTCAATGTAATTCAGTTTCGTGTTAGACAAATATATATATATAAACGGTCAAAGATTGACAATGAAATATTACAAAGATAATTCTTCCAAACATTTAAAAATATCAGTAGATTATAACATCAGTAGGAAAGAGTTTCTAACATGCAACGAAGAACACAAACGACTACTCAAAACTATTCAAATTTCTAAAAATGCGCTATCGCGATTGACAATGTCTATATAAAAAATGATCAATCGGTCATTTTCACCATTCCAGTAGTATTGAAAAATAAAAAAAAAAAAAAAATTTTTTTTAACGACAGTACAAATATTCCTAGCTATAACGTACAAAAATTTCTAGTAGCTATATAATACGTTCTACAAAAATTTTCGTCAGTTCCGACCATCGTTCAACTCTCTCTAAAAAAAAAAAAAAAAAAAAAAAAAAAAAATAAATTGACAATTGGTCAATTTGATCACTCTGTAATGTTAAGATGCGATAGGTATGGACAGAAGTGCAAAGGATAGAGGTACGGTAGACGGGGGATAAAGCACGCGTGTCGGGGACAGGGTGGGGTGTGGGGGTGGGATCGGGTGGAGTGTACCTATCGTATCTTCTATCGCAACAGATGCCTGTTGCTACGCGGCCCGGCGGATGCTGCGCCACGTTTTCGGCTGGCAGGTTCAAGTTCGCTCTTTCTCTCCGGTCGCTTTCTCTCGGCTTCTTTCTCTTCAGGAAACGCTTTTCGCCCTTTTTACCACGTGATCGGACATTGACCCTTCGCCGGCGTAGCCGAGGGGTGGAAAACACCGGGGTCTACAACGAGAAGGGACGAGACGGATGTT